TTTTGAAATACTTTTCTCTATTCCATTCTTAATTATTTATTCAAAAAAGGAATGAAATGAAATTATAAAATACTTTTCTTTTCTTTTCTTTTTTGTTAAGCAATTCCGAAAGAAATATTTAAATTTCGAATTTGCAATAATAGAAATAAACAAAAACAAAAATAAATGAAATAAACAAAAGTGAAGTAAATAAAGAATAAATAAATAAACATATGCATGAAATAAACAAAAACAAAAATAAATGAAATAAACAAAAGTGAAGTAAATAAAGAATAAATAAATAAATAAACATATGGGTAAAATAAACAAAAACATATGCAAAGTAAAAGTGTTTAGGCAAAGTAAAACTTGTTTGTTAAAAATATACATGCAAAACATATTTATTAAAAAGGGACTATTATTTTGAAAGCATTTAAAATCAAATTATCACATATTCTGTAAAAGTGATTAAATATCTCGTTTAGTATCACATTATTGCTTATCCAACTTTAATTATCATATCTTTTATATCAATAATTATCAGTAATTAGTTCAATGTCACATTATGTTACCTTATACAACTTTAATTATCATATCTTTTATGTCAACAATTAAATATCGGAATGAATGAGACATTAATGAAAATAATTTTTAATGATTTTTTAGAAGTTTGAAATTTATGAAATAAATTTAAAGGTAAACTTTTTTTGTTTAAAGAAAAATAAAGGTGAAAATACCTCATTTTTACCTTTTCTACCTTTATCATTATATTTTGGGTTGGCATTATTAATATTTCAAAGTTCTTTAACTTTGTTGCACTTAAATTTCCCTTTTCCCTATTGATTAAATTATTTATGAATTTTGCACTTACAAAGTTTCTCACCGATAAAAATTTTCAATAACTTTTATTAGTTCAAATTTTTCCATTTAATTTTTTTCTTTTAAAATTTTTTTTGAAATTATGAAATATTAGAAAGGATGAGAAATATCCGTTGACTGAAATGATTTTCCTATTATTATTCTTATGGAAAAATTTTAAATTGTAAAATTGAAAAGTTAAATTTGTGCTATTTCATTTAATGAAATAGCAATTATAAGGTTTGGAGGAAAGATAATAATTAAGGAAAATGAAAGATAGTAACTATATGATGGATGAAAGATAGCAACTATATGGAAAATGAAAGATAGTAACTATATGAAAGATGGTAAATATAGCTGAATGAAATTTCCTCTTTATTTTATTTCTACTTAAAAATAATGCAAGATAATTACAACAATAAAGATAGAACGGATATAATATTATGATAAGTTGGATTTGAAATGTTGAATGATTAGTTAGAGCTAATTTATAGTATTCTAAAATTCATCTACATAGAAATTTCATTTAGCTATAGTTTATTTTGTTGAAGAAATATTTGTTGGTTATTTGTTATTGAAACAAAAATTGAATTTATTTTGTGAAGTTAAAGTTAAGCTTAAAAATCGATTAAATTCAACTAATTTAATTTATTCTATAAAATGCAAATGATTCAACTACTGATATTATGATTTCATCCTTCCCTTTCCCGATATAAGATGCAAATGATTCAACTATTGACATTATGATTTAATCCTTCCGGATGATACTGGTGAAAATGTCAAAAAGCTGACAGCTATAATCAAATTTAATATGTGCATTCTTTTTTGGTATATATACATATACATGTATATATTTGAATAATATGCAAATTTGATTATAAATTTATTCTAACATAAAAGATTGATTGATCCATGATTGTTAACATTATTTTTTATCAACAACGTTGCAAGAGGTTGGTGGTTTATCCGGAAAATCTTAAATTTAAGCTTTAAAATGAAAATCTTTGAAAAATTACAACAAGTTGTAAGTAAATATAATATTATTCGAAAATCTTCCGGATAAGAATATCATATATATTATCAATGATAAGTTATTGATATATGAAAAAGTTATCAACTTTACATTTCATATTTTTCGTATATATTTTGAATGAAATAAATTTTAAAAATTTGCAAAATTCTATTTGTCATATTTAATTCACATAAATCATATCAAAAAATTTAAATTAGTTTCTACCTGTTGGAGGTATTTTTCATATTATCGATATTCTTAAATTTCAATGAAAAATATATGCGTGGGAAATTTTTATAAAATAAAATGACGTCAATTGACAAATTTAATTTTTGATATATTTTTTCATAGGAAAATATATTGTGATATTATTTGTCATTTCTTCTTTTGAATTTAAAAATTATGTAATTCTTTTGTTTAGTTTGTTATTTATTATTAATTCAACAAATATGCAAAATTATGTTGCAAATAAACTATGAAATTATTATTTGCATAATTTGGCGACATAATATTATTTGCAAAATGAATGAATTTAATTTGTCATTTTGATTGTTTCAACAATTTAAATAATTTTTTGTTAGTTTTAAATACTAACAAAATATGGCAACAATTTATTGGGGTGAAATTGAAGAAAATGTGGAAAATGTTTGTGGTGTTATTGATTATGATAAGCATGCATTTTTTGTAACATGCACAGAAGATGATCCAATTGATCGTGAATATACATTACATCAAATTTACGATGATAAAGCACCTGATACAGTATATTTTATAATTTTATTTTTGCTTAATTTTATTCTAAGTAGAAATGGTAAAATTAAAATGTTTACCTTTTCAGGAAGCTTTATAAGTTTCACTTCTAAAATAATTGCAACATTTTGAATTGATTTGATCATCGAACTGTTAATGATTAATTTTTGTTTATATTTATGATCGGTATTGTTTAAATAGGTTACATTATTTTGCTTAAGCGTAAATTCTTTAGTAAAGAATTTTTTAGGTAATGCATATGTTAGTTGCAAGATCTGATAAAGCATGTGATCGAAAAAATACAGCCATACATCGAACAGTCAAAATTTTGGAGATGACCAGAGGTCGCTCTGTACATTTTCCAAAAGTGATCTGCTATGGACGTTTGAAAAAGGTGAAATTTGTTGTGAGAAATTGATAAAATAATCAAAAAATATTAAAGATAAAAAGAGTTGAAATTTTCTGGAAATTTAAGATAAATTTTGATATTAAGATTAAATAATTTATGAATCAACTACTATTAGATGATATTTGGTGAAAGTGGTGATCAAGATGATGAAAGAGATCCGGAATGGATTGGACGGCCATGTGTTATTCTGGAATATCATGCATCGTTGATAGGCTCATTGTTATCATTATCACCTACTGGTACTGTTCCATTGGATCTAGCATTAGTCATTATGTTAGGATGTGTTCGGGCTCTTGCATCACTTCATCGACTCGGTTATGTTCATCGACAGGTCTCACCCTACAGGTAAATCCAATTGCAATTTCTTGCAATTGATCTAATCGATAATTGATTAAATCTATTCTGATAAGTGATTAAAACTATTTTCTGCAAAGATTCAAATGTATTAAATTTTAAATGAGTATAAATTATAGCTTTGCATTTCGTAATCCAATCTCATATAATTCGATCGAATCACGCATGTTAATTGTTGATGTAAGCTTAGCTTTACCATGGCCTTGTAAACCACGAGTATTTGTACCATTTGTTGGTACTCTTCGGTACAGCTCTGTACGAGCTCATCGAGGACGTGAACAGGTAAATTATGATATTTCAATAAGAATTATTAAAATTATATAATCGAATTAATTTTGAGGTGAAAATTAAAAAAGCGAAACATGGGAATTGGTAATACAAAAAAAGAAGAAATTGAATCGGAAAAAAACGGATTTTAAAATGATCGAAATGAAATCATAAAAGAAAATAATATTGCAGGGTCCATCAGATGATATCATCGCTTTAATTTATATGATTGCTGAAATGATCTCCGGTAAATTGCCATGGCGTTCGGTATTTGATGAAAAGCGTGTATGTAATATGAAATGTTTGTTCTATCAAAATATCGAATTTAAACGACTTCCTCGAGAAATTCGATCTCTTTACAGGTAGATATCATAGATAAGAATAATAGGCGTTACTTTGGCTATTTAGTAAATGAATTTTATTGTTCTATAAATAAAGTCTTATTAAATTCTTTTTTTCATTTAATAAATAAAGTCCTTGAAAAATGAATTTATTCTGCATGTTAAGATAAAGTTTAAAATCTAATAAATTATTTATCATTCGATGAAGAATTGAAATTCATATATTTTTCTTCCCTCACTGATAATTATTATCACATTATATATCATCCCATCTTTAGATGTTATCATAAACATTTATTACAGATTAATGTATATGACATTATCACCTTATCCAATTGATTATAAATTTATTATTGAACAAATTCAAGCAGCTTTAACACGTCGCTATCCGAATAACAAACATGAACTTCCATCATGGATTTCTCTACCAATTACTGAAGAATAATTCAATTAATCAACCAGCTATCATTCCAACCGATTATTCATTCGTCCTATTTGCTTTATAAATTATTTAGCGGAAATATTTCATAATCTTTCATAATGTGTGAAAAAATTTTGTCGTAATTTTTGCACCTTTATTTGATTCATTTTTATCATTAATTTAAATAATTTTTATCACTAATTTAATTAATTGAGTAAATACTCAATTCTTTTTAAATGATGCAAAATTTTTTTACTAAAATAGCTTTTATCATTTCTCATATATCACACATTGATTATTTTATAAATTATAAAGGGAAAAAGAAAAGCTTATCTCTTCAACAATTTCCTTATCATTATCATCGTCATTATTCACAATGAATATATAAATTATTGATTATATTTACAACTTTAAGATATATACATATTTATATATATATGTATTTGAAGTTTTGCAAATTACAAAAAATTTTAGGCATAGTGAAAAAAGTACAAATAAATAGAAATTTTGAAACAAAATTATGATTAAAATTTAAATTCATTATCGTACGCTTACTTCTACATAGATTTTTACGTCGAGAACGTAAGATGGGAAAATGTACAGTAGTGATTATCCATGATAGAATTGAGAATTTGGCACTGGGCAATGATCACAATCATTTTCACCACTCTGAAATTATGTTATTGTAAGAAATATCATATTAATCCTTCTTATTATTATTTTCGACATTGTTACAGTGAAAGATAGATCTGCTGTGATATTATGACCTGATTTTAGTATCATCGGAAGGAAATAAACCATTCCTTTCATGATGAAAAAAACAAGAAAACACGACATACATAGTTGTTGGATATTTATTTTCCGAACATATCTCATTTATATCAGAATTTAAACAATTAATCGAATTAAGATTAATTGATAATTTATCACGACATACAGGAATGGTTATTGCCCAATAATTCAATATTTTAAAGGAAATTTTAAAGTTCCTAATTACTGTATATATTCAATCGATTAATCCGAAACGTATCTTACATGAAAGTTTTGAATTAATTTTAATTTTTGAAACTAATAATTCTTTCTTTGGAATTTTTGATATTATTTAACAGAACAACAGATAGGATCATGCTGATTTTAACGAGAAGAAATTGTTCAATGATCAATAATATCATTGATATTAAATTATTACAAATATTCCAGTAAAAAATTAATTCAATTTCTCAAACTTGTGTATTTGCTGAATTTCTAGGGTAATTTGTTTACATTTATAGGGTAATTTGAAAGAGTAATTTGTTTACACAATTTACTATGCATTTTAAGATTTGAAGTTTAAATACAAAACATGTTTTACTCAGATGAAGATATTCAAAAAATAAAATGGAACATAATTACCGTTTTTCCAGTAGGTCCATCGAAACCACGTTCTCCTGGCCGTCCTGGTGATCCTGGTGGTCCTTGTTTGCCGGGCAAACCCTGAAATTTTATAAATTAACGATAAAAAATAACAGTCCGATTATGAACATTATTACTTGTACATATGCTCTATTGAAATTAACGAATAGATTCCAATAAATTCACGAACCGGTGGTCCTGGCAATCCATTTCGTCCATTTTCTCCACGTTGACCAATAAAACCTGGCGGACCACGCAAACCTGGTGGTCCTGGTTCTCCTTTCGAGCCGGGTATGTTATGAATCTCTCCTGGTTGACCAGCTTTACCTCTCAATCCAGGTCTTCCACGAATTCCTTGTTCTCCTGGTTCTCCAGGAAATCCGATCAATCCTACAAAGCACCTGTCATAAGTGAATAACATTCAAATAGAATTCATAACCTGAACTGAATTTAATTAAAAATACCATCAATGCCATTTTGTCCATCAGCTCCTCGTACACCATGTTGACCACGTGGTCCCTTTGGACCTGGGAAACCAGGAGGACCAGCTGGTGCTGGTGGACAATCGAAACACCATTGCTGATAGCGATAATCAAATCCTTCCGTTGCATCTGCACCTCGTGAACCATTTCTACCCGGCAGCCCATCAACTCCTAAAAGAGTGTTTCTCAATAATATTGATTTTTCAATGCAACAAATCTACTCAGTATTAATTTCAATACCTGGATCTCCAGGTGGTCCAGGTAGTCCTATCTCTCCAGCTTCACCGATTCCACAGCTACAACATTTAGAAAACTTCACTGATTCCACAACTGCAACATTCAGAATTCAACATTCAGAAATAATATAGTTTCATTAATATTTGCGGTATACTGTTTGTGCTTGTGATATTCGAATACGGACTTGGAGTATCATAAGGTAATGTTTCATAGGTTGGTATTTCTATATTATTCATTGCTGGATAATAGTAGTAGTAATACGCTTGACGTCGACTACGCCGTGAGCGTTGTCCCTTTAACATCTGAAATATATCTATATATATATATATATATCTACACAAACAAAATTAGTATAGAAATTTAAAAATATCCGTCAAGCTAAACTGTCTTCAAAATAAAAACAAATTTTACAACTCTTAAATAATTTCTGCTAATTTCTTCAAATTAAACTTTTTAAAATTTTGGCACAAAAATTTTTAATTTTTTAAATAATAATAGTAAGTATAAATTAACCTCCTCAATATATGCATATTCTTTCCATATATTTCTGGAACGTTGTTGACAAAATTCTATTTCATTAGCCAAACTTGTTTGTATTGTTTGAATATAATAATAAAGAAGTGGTGTAATAATAACGCTACATATTGTAGCTATTGTACTAAAATTTCAAATTAATTATCGCAAAATAAAATTTGTTAGGAGAGAAAAATTAAGGATAGAATATATAGAAGTAATTAGATCTTTGATATCTTTGAAAATTTAACTTATCGTACTTTATATAATTTAACTTATCACATTTCTCTGATATCTTCAAAAATTTAACTTTATCACATTTTGATTAAGCTTATCATTGATTTAGCTTATCACATTTCTCGATATCTTCAAAAATTTGACTTTATCACATTTTATAAATACATTTATTTGTAATCAATTTTAACTTCTGATATATATAAATAATATATGTGAAGAATTAAATAATAAAAATTGACCTAATAGCGATACCAAAAAAGGCAATTTTCTTGTGACGTTTAATCTGTTCTTCTCTTATCAATGATATCGTCGAATTTTCTTCACATAATTTTCGATCCATTAATATCAAATATACGTGGAAATTGAAATTGGAAATATTTATTTATTTTTTATACTGAAAAAATTAAATACACAATGAAATAGGTGGAATAAAATTCATGTTAAATATATCGGAAAAAATTCATTGATATCCAACAGTTTATATGAAAGATTATGAAAGATTGAGTTGATTTAATTATTTTGTTAAAACTAAATATATTTCCGGCTATACCGGAGAAAAAAAAACAACAGAAATTTGTAATCATTTAATTATTTTGTTAAAACTAAATGTATTTCCGGATATACCGGAGAAAAAAGCAACAGAAATCTGTAATTATTGCAATTTTACAACTATTTTAGTTCATTTCTGTTAGGAGCATAATTTTGAAACTCTTTAATAATTAAAAATAATTTTTAATAAAATAGGTATGCTCAGAAATTATAAAAAGCATCGATAATTTACAATATACTAATTAAATACTAATTTAAGAAGTTATGCAAAAAAGCTAATATAATCGTTAAAATGGCTATATATTTGAATTCGAGAATTGAATTCCGGTTTTAATTACAACTGAATATTTATGATACCACTAATATATATAAATCAATCCAATATCCTGAAATATACTTCAATAATAACGGATCAACAATCGCATGTCATACGACAATTAACAAAGCCATTGTTGATAATAAACTAGTAAATGGTGATACGCAGAACAGACACTAAAATAAATTTAAAAACATCTAAAGATTAAAAGACAATCGGTTCTACGAACAAGGAAATTTAAATCTTGTTAACATTACACCTTTCATACATCAATTTTATCACTTATACCTATCACAGTTTTTTTTATCAGTCCTTCTCGAAAAAAGAAGTTTCACTAAAAATAATTCATTTTTCTTTCTTTCTAGAAATATAATTCAGTGGAAAGAGGAAAACAAGAAATACTTCAAGACTGAAAGATAAATTGAAATAATTTCGGCAGGTTCATTTTTCATGATAAATATTTGATCAATGATTCCACCACACTCATTTAAATATCATCCACTAACCTCTGACATCCGATGATTATTCATTTCTAAAAATTTTGGTTAAGATTTTTATTTATGAATTTATAAAAGTTAAAATTCAATTTTTTTTTTAATTCATACTAATCAATTTCTTAATTCATACACCTTCTTTATATATAATGCTTATTTATATCGCGAAATATCGGATCTTATCATTTCATTCGCCTGCTAAATATCAAATACTATAATATGATATAATAAATTTTATTATAATTATAAATCCGTTTTTAATCGATTAATTCATTTTGTGAAAGGAAAAATCATTGGAAGATAGTAATTTCATAAACTAAAAAATTATATTGAAATTTAAAAGAAATTATGAATTATATGTGACATGATCGGAATATTATTCAATTAATTTAATTATATTTGAAGAAGTGAATTTGCACAAATTGTTAATTAAAGATGAACACCTGTTCTGAGAGTTTAAATCAAATCAGTGAAAATGGAATGAAAAAATATTCGGCCAAATAAATAAAGGTGAAAATTGATAAATAGAAGTTTAAAAAAAATGTCAAACAGAATTAAGAATAATTGTTCTAAGATTTTGTGTATGAATTAAAAAATTAAACAATAAATTCCTGTAATTAATTAAATTGGCTCTGTAATTAAATGATTCAAAGTAAAGAAATACATAAAATTACAAATATAATTTTATCATTTCTCACTTTACCTGACAGAGCAATTTACGATGAATATACATCAAAGTTGTCCGAATTCATTCAATTTCATTGGTCTTTCGAAAAGAAAAGTGATTGATCAATATTTCCTTTTTAGGAATAATACTTTAATTTCACAATCATTTTAACTTTATTTCCTTTTTCCAGTATCATTGATAGGAATGAGAAACATAAATAACATTTCAATCCAGCATTCTACAATATTGATACATTTACAATTCTAGACAATCAAAAATGTTTGATCTGTTGGATGACCATTGGATGGTCATTTGATTTCCTCAAATTGATTTCTAAAAGAAAGTTTTTGATAAAGAGTAGCTTATTTGATATAAGCCATTAATTTAATTTCAAATTATTTGCATTTAAAATCTTTTCCGAATTCTAATAAAATGTTGAAGCAAATAATTTACAACAATTGGTATTGATAAAAGAACAATAGAAATTAATATTTAGTGAGATAAGAAAGTAAAGAGAAAGAAATATGTATCGATTGTTGGTGACAGCATACTTCTTTTGTTTTTGATTTTACAAAAATGATAAAAATAAAGAAAAAAAGGGAATACTAAGAGAGTGATAAAAAATGATAAAAAAATGAAATGATGAAAGTAGTAAAGAATGAGTTTTATTTCAAACGATAACTAACTTTATTTGTTAAGTGAAGTAATGAATTTCTAAAGGTGTGATAGCGAGAGATAAGAGGCTGTAAACATATTAGTGACCGGAAAGAGCGAGGTAAAACGGAGTAATGAGTTCATCAAATTGAGTTGTTTAATGTAATTTGATTAAGGTGATTCGTATTTCTGTTAGTGGTCATGGCATTTTCCGATGAAGTATAACCTTTTTACTTTTTCTTCTAAAATGGACATTACTTTTTGATACTTTTTGATATTTTGATACTTGGTCAGCTCATTTGATACTTTTTTAAAGGCTATCTTGTTATTTGATGTTTGTTGTTACATTTAAATTACTTAATGTTGCCACTTTTTCATATTTTTGAATTTATTGCTCTTTTGTATTTTTTAAATATCTATGATTCCTTCTATTTAGACAATTGAGCGGTAACTTTTAAATATAATTTCATTAATTTTAGTGAAATAATATTTAGTGTATTATTTGCATGCTATATAACATTTGCTAATAGAATTGCAATTATATTTAATCAACTTAAGATATAAAATTCATAGATCTTTTTTTAATCATTAAAAAAAGATAGAAACTGAAGTCTTGAAAAGAAAAAAGAACTTGAAGTAGTTATTATATAATGTTCTTCAATTCTTTAGTGAAACTGTAGTTTGTATGGAAATTTTTGATATGTCAGTTTATCTTGTTTATTTGGAAGGAAATTTGAAAAATGGGAGAAACCGAATGTGAGATGTTACGAGATAATCTTTACATGATAGAAATCACATTCATTCTTTATATGGAGGAATTGATATACGACTAAAAATAATATTTACAGTTACTAACTGCTTAAAACGCTTCCAATAGTTTATACAATTTATAGTTTGTATAGTTTATATGATTTCACACTCAAGCATGTCTATACTTTATTGGGAAAGGATTGTAAGATGGCAAACACAGTCTGCATTGATGCCAGCTAGAATTGAAATTCTCAGTGGATTTAAAATCATGTTTGAAATGTGCCAAAGATAGAATTTGTTCATGTGGAATAGGGAAACAGCACGTGTAAGTATTTCCTTTATAAGATATGGTATAATTAGTAGAAATTATATAAGATATTTTTCTTTCTGTGTATTTCTCTAAAATTTTGAAATATATAATTCACAGAAAAATACTTCAAACATCTCCTGTACTGACCAAATATAAATGCGAAGATCTGGTGGTGATGATAAGTTGGAAGTAATGAGCAGAATCAAAAGCAAATCATAATCTCCATCTTGGGAAAGAGTGAAATATCCTGAGATACGTATGCACTAAATCTCATCCAATTTTCCTAAAGCCCTCGATAACATATACCATAGACCACAATACCTTTCATATAAATACCTCCCGCGTAATAAAACCAATGAGTAAGGAACCCATCCAATTGCTCCCTCACTATTTAGTCGACATAATCGCAAATTGATCCAATTACTCGTATTGAAAGCATTTTTGTTCTTCTTCGCTACTCCTTACCTTTATCGTATGGAACTTTTTCTCCTTTCCGTCTTTCTTTATCTTCCGATTAGTCTTTTCTCCATTATATTTTGTATATCTTTTTAATCTTTTTTCCTCTATCTTTTTCACAATTTTTCAAATCCACAAAATGCTATTTTAATGAAATTGCCAATTCATTTCAACGCTTCGTACGAAATGTTCATAATTTCTATAATTCCCTCATATCACTGCTTGGAAAATTAGAATATTTCCTTGTTGACTAGATAATTTCATGAAAAGTGTACTGAATTAATCTTTGATACTGTAAAAGGAAATAGGAAGAAGTAGAGGAAGTAAACGGTGATAGTATATCAGTGAAGGATGATAACATATTATTAGCAAAATATAAAATACATGTTTTATCCAATGTTTCTAAAGCTCTTCTTAAAGCGATGTCATTATCATCTGCAGTTAACCAATGAATTCCTCTTGACATTGGGTTTTGAGGGTCAAAGAGTATTACTTTTTCTTTTTATACTTCGGTTAATTGTCAACTTAGAGAAACAGTGAGTCGTACGATGCGATATCGTTGTTCCAGAAATTCGAAATAATTAAGTATGTAAATTATCAAACAAAGGAAAATGAATTAGGGAGATCGTGGAATAAAGCAGGTTGAAAGATGGAAATTAATTTTTAGTGAAGTGATGTAAAACTGGAACGAATGGAATTGGAATAGGTTGAATTAACGGCGAGAGATATTTCATAGATTCACATTTTATTTGATATGCTTGCCTTTTTTCAGCTTTATTGATCTTTTTACCACCAAAGAAATTTGAAGCATTCTGACGAAACAATGCGTATAGCTGCAAATTTGACAATGATGTTTCATGAGATAGATTTGCTACAAAAGTACCAATTATTTCATTTGAATAAATTTTTTATCCGGCTCATACATATATATTTCATGTAACAAGACATTGGAGTTACATTGAAAAAAATCCTACTACATTTGAAATAGTAAATCTATCCTAAAGCGATTTAGCATCAAATATTAGTCCTTTATTGAAGAGCAAAAAGTTATACTAATTCGAAACCGATAACTTTAATTTTGATTGAATCATCCGCTTTCGAAAATTATCCAGAAGGATCATGAAGATATGGGGAAGCAGCTGCACTTGGATTTCAACTTGTTGAAGTATCGTTACCGTACGGATTGCCAGCGGAGGAACTGTTACAGCAAGCTGAACGTTATCACCTTAAGCATGTGCTTATTAACGCACCTGCAGGTATCTCCTAATTTTGTTTTTTTTTTTCTAAATTATCCTTGAAGTACTTTACTTCCTTCGTCCTGTGTTTTGTCAATTTTCCACCGCTCTGTGCGGTGGAAAATTGACTTGTATTGTATATCGAGATGGACTTTGAATTTAATCCAGTACTGTTTTTGTCCATTATTTTATTTTTAAGAATTCTTGCAGGTAATTGGTCTAAAGGCTTTCGTGGTCTTGCAGCCCTTCCGGAGCAAAGATCCAAGTATGTTGAGTCTTTGGATATCGCAGTTCAGTACGCGAAAAAGCTGAATGTGCAAAAGGTTTCCTTTCTGTACTTGAAATCAAAAAATTTTATCTTTAAAAAATTTGTGTGCTTCCAAATGAATTTGTTCTTGTATTATTTCATGTCTTTCATTATGAATTCGTTATAAATTAAGGTTCACATAATGGCTGGTATATCTGGGCAAACGGATGAGAACTACAAAGTTTATGTTAAGAATATTCGCCTGGCTTGTCAGCAATTTAGAAAGGTTGCAAAACAAATGCTTAGCAGTTTATGGCACTTATTTTCTTATCAAAATCTATTAACAAAAATTCAAAGTGTCTCAAAAAGTGGTTATCATGAGTACCACAGATCGAGGGCTGGTTTTTTACTGTCATATAAATTTTTATTTGCAATTTTGTAGAGCTCTATGTTTTCAGTTTTATATTATTTGCTGTATATGACGATATTAAGAATGTTTTCCAGGAATCAATAACTTGTCTCATTGAACCGATCTGCGAAGCTGCTATTCCTGGATATTTTATGAACTCTTATTCGAAAGGTGCTAATCGACTTGATATTTTTAAGTTTTTGCTCATTCATTTATTTATTTGTCCCACCTATTCATTTATTTCTTGTTACATTACTTACATTAATAATATAAAATTAGAAGAATTTTACTGTCAAAAATTAATTCCGAAAAAAACAATTAAAAACATATGCAGCGCTACAAGTGTTGAAAGAAGTCAACGAACCAAACCTGAAGATTATGTTGGTGAGTACGTGCATTTTTCAAGCATAATTTCATATGAATTTGTATTTTAAACTTTTGTTTGCTTACTCAGTTTTCTACTTCCGTAGAAGTGAACATTACCACTTTGTAGGATCTGTTTCATGCTCAACAAATTTGTGGTCAACTTACCACTATTATTGAAACGTTAGCACCTTTTATAGGTAAGTGAATTTTGGATAAGACTTACTAAAATAAAAATAACTAAAAAAGAATAAAAAATAAAAAATAAATAACTTACTAAAAAGATAAGACTTTCTAAAATTATTACTACTGTTATTATTAGTCATCTTTTGCAAAATATTCATGAATTCATTTTACTCTACGGTTGTAGCGTGTTGGGCAGTTTTCTTCTCTTTTTTTATTGAATTCGAGTCATTGATATGTGAGAAATACAACGAACATTCAAAAGAAGAGGTATACATCAAAGCTCTTTTATAAGTTTTTAGAAATTGTACCAATGTTTACCACTTTCTGCTTCATATAATTACCAAATTTCAGGACATGTTCAGGTAGCTCAAGTACCAGGTCGTCATGAACCAGATACTGATGGCGAAATAAATTATGGTTACGTGTTTAACATATTGAAGAAATTTGGAAATTGGGACGTCGGTTGTGAATATCTGAATAGTGGATGCGATGATCAGTATCTTCAATGGGTACATCGTTATGGACTAACATTCTGACATCGTTTATTCATGTTCTTATAGGATTCATCTCTTAACATGTTAGAGTTACGGAATTCAACTCTTAACATTTGGAGTTAAAGTTTTGATTCTTCACCTTTCCTGAACAAAAAAATCATTGAAATAATCAATACATATGCAGTTAGAAATGGATCTGTTTGCTGTGTTATTCATCTATCTAATAAATGCAGTGTAGCTTCCAAATATTTTCGTGATATTTTCGGCTTAATTATAAATGCCACAATACATTTTGGACAAAAATTGTTCTTTTGTTAAAATTAAGTCTCACTTCTCAGTTCATAATATTTTGTGGTATTCCTTCCTATTCATTTTATTCATCTCTTGATATAGCATTGCATAGTTTTTTTCTTTTCTTTTTAATGTTCAATTAAATGCATAAAAATTAAAAATCTATCTTATATGATTATATCAATTCTTACAGTCGTTGAGCAACTTATTTCAAATATATGCTTCATTAAATCCAAAATAAGTTTCATCCAAGTTTTATAACAGAACTGATCACTTCAACAATTTTTTTATTTCAAATTGTCTTATTTCAATCCACGCATGCAATTTGTTGTTTAATACTGAAAACAAAAAAAATTTCCCATCTGTTTTTGACTTATGTTTATAACAGCTTCTTTAATTCAATGTACCAATATTGTAAGAAGTTCAGCGCAACTCTGTTGTATCATTGCATGTCATTGATCAGTTCGCAAATCTTTTTTTATAATCTTTCCTATTTTATTATTCCGTACTGCTTTGGTATTTTCCTTGCATTTCGATTTGTTAATCAATTTTTAGACTTTTCCTTGGTGATAGAAATGGCGCCTATTTAATATTTTAGCTTATTTTAAACTCTTGACAAATCGAATTTTAACAGAAAACACCAAAGTAGTACTACCTCTTGCAATAAAATATATGAATATCGCAGGAAGCATTCAATTACCAAAGCCTCTAATCAAAATAGGCATAACAATAAAAAATCATCAAAACATCATGTACAGTCAAAACTGTATTATAAATTTGACCATTTCCAAAAAACAAATAGCCACCAGGACTAGATAGCTCAAAACGCATAACCCCAGAACTAGCATAACTACCGACAACAAAAAGCCACCAAATCTAGCCCAATACCCAAGAATAATATAATTATTGTTGTGCCTTCGTTACATACAGGTTCAGTCCTGGCCATGATGTAAGGAAATATCCTTACATCTTTTTTTAGAATGCTCAGCCGTTGCAATTCTCAGCTATCTTTTAGAAAATCTTCGGAAGGTACCACTTTCAATCACCGCCTTATCATCAGAATGCTCGCTGTGCTATCAAATTTATTTAATAGATTTCCCTATTACAATGATACTGATATGTTCAAGTTTACATTTTCATTTCCCTTCAAATAATTCCAGTTTCAATCGAGTTCAAATTTATATTCTTCGGTTTTTGAAGAATTGTCATTTCTGTAAAATGAAGGGAGAGGTCATGCAGGGTGGCACCCTGTGGTGCTAGAGAGTTTACAGTAACTTCATGAAATTGACCATTGGAAGCGCAGAAAAGAGATAAGATAAATTAACAGTTGGTATTAAGTCTTCTTTTTATAATTATAATTAATAAAATGATGGATCAGAGCGAGGTCCTTTACCCAGTGACCGATCGTGTTTGCTTATTACTCAGACACAGCTCGGTACCACAGGGTAGATGAACAGGCTCATGCAAAATGGAAGGTAATATCGATCTGATTTTTTGCTTATCGAAATTCTTGATTCCATAATCAATGATTCCTTTTTTTTCGGTTTGCAAAGTATCAATTACAGTCTGAAATGCAAAAAAATAATTCTAGGATGGTAATCAGATATTTGAACTTATTTATGGAATTGTAATTAAATTAAAACAGACATACAGATATTGATATGAAATCTTAATATAAGAGCATTCAGTGATTTATAGGATGCTAAAATGCTAATTAATGTGAAAATAGAAGTAAGAAATTTATTTGCACAGTTCGCTAATTTTGTAAAATTAATTGCTTAGCGATAGTTACACTGATATACTGTATATCACCTAAAATTATAAAGTGGATAGCAAGAATATATCTTATATTTAGCCTGTCAATGGTTAATATCACTCAAATTTTCTTTTATTAGATTTCATTCTTCATATAATTTATATTTTTCAAATCTTAAAAATTTTTTTCTTTTCTCAATTATATGCTTTTTTTATAATTTGCATTTAAAACAATAGATATATATATATAATTTATTTCTATATTGCTAGCAGTTGAATGCTTTTGATATTATTGCCATATTTTATTTTTCCCAAAATTGATGGGAATCTAAAAAAGGATTTAGAAAATCCGAGGGATATTCGTAAAAGAAGATTTATTTAATCGATATCATTACTCTTCTCATGATATTTTATGTTGAAAATGCATTGAACGATATTAATTCATTAAATGATAATAAAGGTATAAAATGGAAAAAATAAAAGTCCTTGCGAAGGTTATAACTGAAGGTTACAAAAGAAGGAAACCTTCAAAACTTACAGGTAATAACTATAAAAAAAATATGCTAAACAAATATTATAATGTTTAATTTTAAAATAATCCATTCCATCAAAGCTGACTCTTCTAATTTATTTTTATCTTTTATCTTACAATGAATTAATTTTTTGTAGTTTCAATAATATTTTAGACTTTTAGCTACTTCATATTTTTGAATGTATTATCTTCTATTTCATTCATAAATTCAATATTTGTTCAACTTTGAATGCTTACCTGTAATAGATATCAGATTGCATTCAAAATAATACTGATAAATGATTCGATTGTTTAGGATTGAAAAGAGCTGGAATACGGTATATCTGCTGAAACGCTGTAGGATAGATGTCTTTCTAACAAAAAAAATTACTACTGTAGGATGGATATGTTTTTAACAAAAGAATTACTTCATCCAATTAGTGGATAAGGATTATTTGATGTTTTCATCCTTTTTCAAATTATAATAATTGTAAAGATTATCAAATTATCACAGGGCGAAATATAAAATATAACAGTAGCAATTAAGACGAGAAATATCCGTTATACCATAAGTTTGATATAATGAAATCAATCGATTTAATGCTAATTCAAATATGAAAAATATTATAATTTAAATGGAACACATTAGATAAGCAATTAAATTAAATATGATACTAACTGATACGATCAACAAGATTATCGTAACTTTTAAAAAAATTGTTTTTCATACTGAAACATTCTCACTTTCTCAATGATATCTATCAAGTGATTATGTATTTGATCTCAGATATAATATCAAACTGAAATACTAATCACTTCGTCTGATATATTTCAATTAATTTAAAATTTAAATAGATAAATTGTTTCTCATTATTCTCGATGATAAATATATAAGAAAGAGCAAAATAATTAACTTACTTAATTAGAATGGAATTTCATGATATTCTGCTAAATAAGTGCGATGAAATAATATTTTGAACACTGATCCAATCAATTAATATAATTCTATAAATTAAAATAATTATATTATCAGCATCAGTTGGTATAAGGTTGATATAAAGTGGTGGCTGGTACAAAAAGCCGAAAGGATCATATTTCAATAGACTTTAAGATAATGAAGCGTCAATCATTGCTATCATTACAAAATAGTAAAATTTTAATTATTTTTAGTTAACATGAGTAAACCCTATCAAAATTACCTTGTCTTCTGATAGTAAAATTAATGATATTCTCTGATATCTGATATTATCAACATTATCAATAATACATTAAAGATGAAAGAGTTTACTTTCATATCTTTAATCAGCTAACCAATATAAGACACACACACACACACACACACACACACACACACACACACACACATATACAACAAACTACAAGACAGTAACCGCATATTACAATCTGTCAGACTATCACTCTAAAAGTCCAACCTCCGCGAATAAATCTTCGGGAAAGGAAAAAATAAAATAAAATTCTCGTCCCATACGTTTAAAAAATACTAATTCTTTTATTTTAAGAATAAGAGAATAATCATAAAATATATGTAATGATAATTATAATTATACGATAATAATTAATTGATTAGTTCAGTGATAATTTTGAAATGAAATTTTAATAAAAGAATAGTAATAAATAAGTTAGTTTACTGTAACAAAAGTTATGTATATTAGAAAAAGAAATCAGTCAATTTGCGCCATCTTTTTATCACGTTCTTTTTTTTATTCTCACTGCATGATCTATACGATATTTCATTACTGTATGAGGTATACGATATTTCATTACTTACTGTATATCGATATTATTAATTATAAATAAAATAGCACCAAACGATATGAATGACATTTTATAGTATATCAATTTACTGTAATACAAAGAATATAATATAAAATAATATAATTTGAGGGATATGTAATAAAAGAAAATAGCAAAAGAATGTGTGATTGGAAAGATTTGATGGTCTGAGAAAAATGAATTGAAATTTATTTATATTTTTTAAGATGCAATTTGCTTTCTTCTCTTTCTACAAATATCTTTCTCATTTGATGCTTAATATTTGCCGACTTTATAAGTGTCCGAAACACTGTACGTAAAGTAATGAATTCTCTCCCTTCTTTCTCCCTTTCTCTCTCTCTCTTTGTTTACTTTTCGAGGTTTTCTTTCGCTATTCTCAAACATTTTGTTAAAAGTTTAACTATTTCCATTAATTCATTCCAATCCAATTAGTAACGTCCAATCCAATTAGTATTAGTAAAGTTGAAAATTACTTAAAACAATAAGATAATTAATAATTCTAATGTTAACTTTTGATTAATTAATTTCGAAAAATGAAAAGAAACTTTAGTTGAATATTTTCCAATTTTTGAAAAAAAAACCTTAGATATAAACAAAATTATTACTGTTGTTTTTTTCCGATACATGTTGTGTATTTCGTTTATTTTCTTGAGGTCACATATTGATGATAGAAATGATGAGATCATTTACT